AAGTCTTGAACTGCATTATCTAATGATTTACTTAAAAAAACGAAGGGGACAGGAAATGTTGATTTATGGAATTAAAAGTATTTTCCATGGGAAGATATGGAGATTGAAGAAATAGGTTTACAAAGTAACCACTTCTTTGGGACATCTCTTCTCAGGAGACACAAGCTTTTAAGCATTTTATCTCTATATCCGTAAAATCTACATACACCGAACTATAAATGCATGGGATAAAAACATAACAATCAAACGAAAGGAAAACTGAAGAAATACGGGATAAAAACGAAACAACAAAAGGAGAAGAACAGTCGAAGTTGCGCGAGAAAAGTACGAAATGATCACATGACAGAAGAGCCAAAGTTGCTCGAGATGAAAAAGTAACAGTCAAATAAAAGAACAGCTGTAGTTAGGCAAGAGACGAACGGAGGAATTAAAATGAAAAGAACGTTAAAGTTGCGCGATATATAAACGTAATGGTCAAAGTGAGAGTACAGTTAAATTGTTACAAACGTAACATAATCAATAATCAAATGAACGCACAGCTAAAGTTGCGCGAGATACAAACGTAACAATTAAATCATAGGACAGCTAGAGCTGTGCGAGATACAAACTTAATAATCAAATTGAAGCACAGCTAAAGCTGCACGAGACACAAACGTAACAATCAAATGCAAGGACATCTAAAGCTTCCCGAGATACAAAAGTAACAACAATGAAAGCACACATAAAGTTGCGCATGATACAAACGTTACAATAAAAAAAGGAGCAATGAAATTTATAAAAGTAGCAATGAAAGGACAGCTTAGGTTGCGCGAGATACAAACGTAACAATTAAATCATAGGACAGCTTAAGTTGCGCGGGATACAAACGTAACAATCAAATGAAAGAACAGGTAAAGTTGTGCGAGATATAAACGTAACAATGAAATGAAAGGACAGCTAAATTTACGCGAGATATAAACGTAACAATTAAATCATAGGACAGCTTAAGTTGCGCGGGATACAAACGTAACACTCAAATGAAAGAACAGGTAAAGTTGTGCGAGATATAAACGTAACAATGAAATGAAAGGACAGCTAAATTTACGCGAGATACAAACGTAACAATTAAATCATAGGACAGCTTAAGTTGCGCGGGATACAAACGTAACAATCAAATGAAAGAACAGGTAAAGTTGCGCGAGATATAAACGTAACAATGAAATGAAAGGACAGCTAAATTTACGCGAGATACAAACGTAACAATTAAATCATAGGACAGCTTAAGTTGCGCGGGATACAAACGTAACAATCAAATGAAAGAACAGGTAAAGTTGAGCGAGATATAAACGTAACAATGAAATGAAAGGACAGCTAAATTTACGCGAGATACAAACGTAACAATCAAATGAAAGGACAGCTAAAGTTGTGTGAGATACAAACGTAACAATCAAATGAAAGGACAGCTAAAGTTGTTTTAGATACAAACGTAACAATCAAATGAAAGAACTGCCATGGTTGGGCAAGATACAAACTTAACAATCAAACGAGAGAACAGCGAAAGCTGCGCAAGATACAAACGTAACGATCAGATAAAAGGACAGGTAAATGTGCGCGAGATACAAACTCAATAATCAAATGAAAGAGCAGCTAAAGCTGCGCGAAATACAAACTTTATAATCAAATGAAAGGACAGCTATGGTTGGGCGAGATACAAATGAGAAAACCAAAATGAGAGCAACAAAAAATCTGCACGAGATACAAACAAAACAATCAAAACGCAAGAACAGTTAATTTACACGAGATACACGCGTTACAATAAAAAGATAACAGTTACATCTGCGCGAAATACAAACGAAACATTTAAATGAGAGAACACTAAGCCCTGCGCGAGTGACGAACTTAACAATAAAAGGGACACTTAAATTGCGTAAGATACAAACAAATCAGTCAAAATGAAATGACAGCTATAGTTGAACGCGATAGAAACGTAACAAACAATTGAAAGAACAGTTAAATTTGCGCGAGATACGAAAAAAAAATGTGGGAACAGTTAAATTTACATGAGATACGAACGTTGCAATAAAAAAAGGAACAGTTAAATTTGCGCGAGATACAAACCTAACATTCAAAATAAAAGGATAGTTAGAGTAAAAATTTGCGCGAGATACAAACGAAAAATGAAATGAAAGAACAGCTAAATTTGCGCCAGATATAAACATAAGGTCTAATAAAAGAAAAGGTAAATTTGCGCCAGATGTAAAGGTAAAAATGAAATGGAAGAACACCTTTGCGCAAAATAAAAACAAAACAATTAAAATTGGAGAACATTTAAATTTGCGCAGAATGCAAACGTAACAATTAAATTACAGAAAAATTAAATTTGCGCAAGTAAGAAACAAGACAATTTTAAGAAAGAAAAATTAATTTGCGCGAGGTGCAAACGTAGCAATCAAAATGAAAGATATAGTTGCGCGAGAGATGAACGTAACAAACAATCTAAAGAACGGTTAAATTTGCATAAAATACAATGAAATGATCAGGACGAGAGAACAGTTGAATTTGCGCGAGATACAAACGTTACAATAAAAAAATAAGCAGTAAAATTTGCGCGAGATACAAAAAAAGAAATCAAATGAAAGAACTACCCTGCGCGAGTGACGGATGTATCAATAAAAAAGGACAGTTCAATATACGCGAGAAATTTTGAATCTCCTAAGGTCAGCTAGCTGGCATGTCCACCCACATTTGTCAGCAGTGAATATACAAGCATGCTATTTAAACCTAAGAGGATGAGAGGAGAGTGGAGAGACGAGAGAGAAGAGCAGACTGGAAGAATATAGACAGTGTAAAGAAGAATAGTATCAGAATTCTGTAGTAGAAGAGAGGGAGTATTACGGTTACGCAGAATGAAATAAGCTCTGATGTTAGTGGAATCGCGTACTGGAAAGCGGAGTAATTAAAGAAAAAGTGACAAGACAGTTCAATAGTCCTGGTACCTTTTGCGGAAAGCAAACATTTAATAGTCGTAACATATTTGGAGGAGGACTGGGGCGGTTTAAGTGAAAACCAACCTAAGGAAAGAGCAGCTAAATTTGCGCGAGATATAAAGGTAACAATGAAATGAAATAACAGCTAATTTGCGCATAATACAAACGCAACAATTAAGTGAAACAACAGTTAAATTTGCGCGAGTGACGAACGTAACAATAAAGAAAAGGACATTCAAGTTGCGCAAGATACAAACAAAACAATCAGATTTAGAGAACAGATAAATTTGCGCGAGTGACGAACGTAACAATAAAAAAAGGACATTTAAGTTGCGTAAGATACAAAAGAAACAATCAAATGAAAGAACAGTTAAATTTGCGCAGGATGCAAAAAAAAAAAATCAAAATGAAAGAAAAGTTTAATAGGCGAGATATAAACGTAATTAACAAAATAAAAGGCCGTTAAATTAACAATGAAATGAAAAGACAGCTCAAGTTGTGCGAAATACAAAACGAAACAATCCAATGAAAGAACATTTGAATTTGCGCGAGATATAAACGCAACAATTAATATACAAAACACTTAATTTGCGCGAGATATAAACGATCCCTACGCCAAAACGTTTCAATTATCTCCCTCTCCTTTTTTTGGCGGGGGTAGAGCAAGGAATGTTTTGAGACCGTTTTAACGGAAAAATTCAATGTTAAAACAATAAAAGCATGAATGACAGTATACAATATATAGACGAGGAAAGAACCGACAACAGAAAAATAAATGCACAAGCCACCTACACCCAAGCAACTTATTTCTCGCTGTCGCCCTAAAAGTCATAACGCTCCGTAAGAACTAATATGGCGTCTCCCATGTACGATCCGTCTTGCAATGCTTTACGGTGTATTGCGTCGTATGTTATTCGTTTTTAGGTTTCATTCTATGATATGGTTTTCAGCTAGATACACAAACCCTGTATTTCTATCGAAAGTATGCAATTTTCTAAAGTTATTTACCTTGAAAAATTCGTTGGTGACAAACTGACATCCATTTACCTTCAGCCGACGCCGATCTATAACCAATCGATTGAGCAACTTCTAAGAGGCAGTTATTGTCGAGTTGTAGGGCAGCCTCGACAAAACGGACGATATCCTTGGTAAACGGCTAGAATTTAAGGTGTTTCTTAGCCTTGGAGTAGCTGAAAGAGACGCTGAAATTTCTTGCCGCTCGTAAGCTCTTTCCACGTGCAAGACTGATAACAAACATGAATATTAATTCAAGATATTTGTAATTCAAATGAGTATTTTGACGGGCCGAAAATCATCCAAAGGCTGTTCAGTCACTTTTGTTCAACAGCAAATCAAAACACTGATAACTAACTATTAACTGTTTTTTGACGCGGCTATATGTTAGGTAGAAAGGTTTGAATCCACATAAAACTTATTCGATCTAGATGTCATGGAAAAACTATATTGTGCACTGCTGGGATCATTTTGTAGGAAATGTTAAAATTTCTCACCAGTGAAAGTTAGTTAAGCTAAGTTCGGTTGCGAGTATGCCTCACAAACTAGCGCTTTATATCTTTCTGTGCGGTGTTTTCACCCCCAGAAGTGCGCAATTGTTTAAGTCAAATTTTGCAAAAGGTTGAGTGATCACTGTGATCATCTGTTTGCTGACAAAGTTGTGTCGACGGCTCACTAAGAATGCAATAATTCATCTGCTCAAGTGCGGAATGTAGCCTTTCACATCTTTTTTTATGCTAGATATGCTCTCAGGATAGCTTACATGGTTAGCGCTCGATGAAAATAAGGGCGGCGGAGCTGCGAAAACGAGCTGGGAACTCTTCCTAAACCCCTAGTGTGTTTTACACATTACATGCTAGAATTTATTTTGACTTATAAGTACTTCTTATAATGTACCTTTAATTATAGTTAATTTATAGTCTACCGTTTTATACATGAGCCTCTGGCTCGGGCAATTGGGCAACCATGCCTCACGTTAGACAATAAACTTTGATTGATTGATTGATTGATTGTTTCCCGCTCGTTTCTGTAGCTCCACACTCAATGCTCCAAAGCGCACACATGACTATTAGCTTCACCGGCTAAGCCCTTAAATTCCTCTACAAAGAATCATTTATGAAACATTTTCTAATGCCAAATTCACAAATGATGACTCCCATTTTTTCTTGTTTAATGTCACATTCATTACTCTTTACATAATAATATTTACAGAGGTCCTTCGTTAGCAATTATGTCTTTTCGCAAGTATCAACATATTGCCTGTTGCGAGAATATTTACATGGGACTCTTGGAAGCGACTATCTCTCGTAGCGACTGCAATAAACTTCTTGCTGGCTAATAACCTTCACTTTTCTTAATCTGGCGTAAGCAGCGATCTCAAATCTGTCGACCTTACGGCAAGTGTACTATTATCACCTTTTATCTCTTATCTCTTTTATTTTGCTTATTTTCAAAATTTCGATGCGAGCCATCTTCCTTTTTGTTTTGAGGTCACTCTCTCCTCTGGGAGGAAAAGTCGAAAAGTAACGACCGTCTTTCAAAATTCGTTTTCTGATTGCATGAAATGAAAATGTTAATATCTAAAAAAAAGCTTCTTGTATCCTTCCTCTTGGTGCAGAGAGCGGACACCTTATTTTAATTATCGATAAAAACGGTAGCACACGGGACGGCGCAGTGTAATGCACGTTGTTTGGCAGTTCATCTCTCGTCCTTTTCTGTTTCCGACGAAGTTAAACGTGTTAAAGAGGTTCCCTCGTTTGTGGTTGTCCATTTTACAGAGAGACATCTATAGTCGTTCTGTAAGAGAATAATCAAAAGAGAAATCAATTCAGACTTTGCAGGACGCAATGGCTTCGCTCACGAGTTCTTTGTAATTTCCTGGTAGTGCACCGGAGAGCAGAATGTAAAGATTTGAAATTCGATTCCTCGTGGTTCTTCATGAGGACTTAGATCAATTTCTTTGACCCATCCTAATGTCACGACGATAAAAATACTTCCAAATCAAGACCTGTTATAAAAAAATAAAAATAAAAAATCACTTACCGTTAAGGTTTCTTGAAGACTTCAGCAGTCTTTGTCCCGGTTGGCATTTTTTGCATGTAACTGGACAGTTTGCTTTTATAAATTCCACTGACTGTCTTAGGACCTTGTATTTCAACGCATCAGGATCACAGAAGTCGTACCAGAGCGTGCAAACATTAGGATATTGGTCTCTACATTCTGTAGTTCACAAAGAGGATATAATTTCAATTATAACTGACGCTACACAGAGTTCTGAGGTTAACAAGCAAGCAATCTATACGAAGCCAACAAGATTTTCCACAAATCAGGGGAGTTAAGTACTTTTTGGAATATTCATAAAGAGAACAACAATTGGAGAGTGATGAGAACCATCTTAGTTAATACATGCGAAAGATGCATATCTTGACATTATCCTCTAAACCCTATCATTAGTGTCCATTTTAGCCACACTGCATGATGTTCCTACATTTATTGTGCTAACGACAAGGAGAATTTGTTTGGCAATCAGGAACTTCTTAAATTGGTGATCATTTCCATCACTCTCCTGACCTTAACATTTGATTCAAAAGTGATATTTTAAGGAGAAATTAGAAGCCAGTCAGTCTTAGGTTTCAATGGTTAAGCAGAGTAAAGCGAAAGAAACCAACAATCACTGCTATGGTACCTCAGTTTTAAGTCTTGACTGACTTTGACAGGAAATGGTGACAGAACGTTTGTGGCTTTGTGTGGTTCATGATTCTTACTTACCCATGCAACCTTCTCCATTAGGTCCCTCTGCTTCTGAATAATCCCAACAACAACCGTGTGGAGAGAAAAAACAATCTTGTATGGACTGGGCTGGGGCGCGTAATCCTGAGGGAAGTTAAAAAAAAAAACGCATTTAAGTTAAAATATATATACCATGCAATGTATCTCTATACTTCTTGTGATCATTCTCCGTTCGAAGTTTGGCGTCAATATTTTTGCGACGGGTAAAAAAATACCTTTATAAACTTGAAAGAAACTACAAAACGCAATTTCAATAAAACGGAAAACAGGCACTGAAAAATCAGGAAGGTATCATGGGTGGCTTATAACGGAGACGATGAGAACGGTGTTTAAATAACGGCGTTGATAAATGAACAAATTGTAGAGAAGCTACTTAAAATGTATCACACAGCAGGCATACCATGAGCTAACTGCGCTATAGTTGTGAGCCTCTCTTACTTACGCCAAGACCAAAATTTTTCGGCAGTCTTTCATAAGATTTCATAAAGCTAATCGATTCACAGTCGTGAGTTACTCCTTATTGTTCTCATGATGTACCCCTTGTAAAGAAAGGGAGACGCCTTCCTTTATAAAAAGTCTTAAATAACTTGAGAATTTTAGGACCAACTCCACTCAGGCAGAGCATAAATCTTAGGGCTTTACGATCGTTCGAATTATCAAAAGGAATTGATGGGGTTTCCTTCGTTTACTAAGTTTAACTCTCCATTTCACTTACTGCAAACACTACAGCTCTTTGGACAAAATGCTTTTCCCCGCTCATCGCACGCTCTCTTTGTAGAAAGTATAGACGTTCGTCTTTGGCAGTACTTTGGATAACGGTCTGTGCACTCTGTTGTAAAAATAAAATGATGGAATTACTTTTTGTGCCTGAACCTTGATTAACCTGATAACCTCGGTGCAAAGTATTTAGGGCTTTCTTCAACATGTCACTCGAACTTGAGGTGACTGTGTCAGGCTTGAGACAAAACAAAGTTTCTTAACAGGCTTGTAACGCTCCAAAGCGACGTTCCTGAGTGACTACGGCTGTGGTTTTTTTTTTTTTTTTACTTTACACGAAAATTTATCCTGGACGTGGAGTTAAAGTTAATACTAATACTCTGTTATCTGAACTTTTCTCAAGCTAAAAAAGACAAAGCAAAACAAAAAGCAACAAAACTTAACAAGCGAAACAAAACCGTGACAATCAATTCAAGAAGAAGAAATGATCTGTTCTTTGAATCTTTGAACCAAGATAAATTGTGAAGTAGTTTTTCTCATTTTCCGTCTCCGAAAACACCTTGTGGGAGCATGGCTGGCCTGAAAGCGAGCACGCGTGGAACGTCTTCTAATTGAGAGTTTTACTCACCAGGACAACCTTCACCATAGAATCCTTTGGCCTCTGTCTTCTTGTCCCAGCAACATCCGTACTTACTTGTTTCTAAGGCACACTTCGGTTTCACCACTGAAACAAAGAGTGAATTACCATTTTAAACATGCAATATTTTTGTGCCATTAGTTCTCACGTTGGATTTATACAGTCTAAGTTTTCGTGACACAGGAAAGGTTGGTCTGTCGAGCGTAGGACTAACTCCAGGCTATTCCGCTCGATATGAGACAAAACGTTGTCATCAACTGAAATGTTGAACATGAGACGTATTTGATGGTCGAGAACACACGGTGAGGCTTGGACATCGCTGTGATGGCAGCCAAGGCTTTTATCAAAGGCGCATATCTTATCACGTCAACTTGATCAATGATTAATCTGTATCGTCGATGAGTATGACACTCATTACTTACCACACGAATTGCAAGTGAGAGCGCAAATCGACTTCACAGACTTCCATTTGCAACCCTCTATGCCTTTAAGGCGATAATTTCGTAGTAAGTTTTTGCACGCTCTCGTCCTTAAGCGGTCTCTGCAAGCTAGAAACACAGAACAAAGAACTTACACTCGCGTAGACAAATATAGCTGTCCTAATAGATATGTCAACACCCTCGTATTCTGCGTCACTACTGAAGTTCCCGTCGACACGTAATTTCAACGCGTTAAAACCAATTAAGAAATGATACACGATACAATCCGTCCCCTAGTCTCCGAAATAATGTAAGTTCTTTATAATTTTAGGCGGATAAAAGTCTAAACGACTAAAATGAATCACGTAAATCAAAACAATTCTCACCATCAGATGCCGTGCCGTGTATGAGGAAAGAAAATGATAATATCATCAATATCGTTATTTGCATGTTGATAAGTTGATCTGAAGAACGTAAGTCTTATCGGTCTTCGCCCGTTCTCTCTGTCTTATGAAGTCTTGATTTTGAGTTGTACAAGCTCGCTTATCTTGCTGTATTTATTGGCTCGAATAAACAGGCGTGGGCGAAATGTGAAACCTCCGACGGACAGGAATCAAATGCTTGTTTACTTGTGGTCGCTAACTGTCGTAAGATTGGCTATTTTGAGTGGTCGACACCCTTAGTACTTCCCTTCCGTAGTAAAATCCTCTTCTAGGGTTAATATTAGTTTGCGTAGACTCAAACCGATTGCGTAAGCACTGAGCGTTCAACTATTTTTCTTTCGCAAGCCATTTCTAAAGAAGAGGTCTTTTTTTTCTTTTTATAAAATAATACATGTGTCACTAAAAATTGAAAAGCATTTACTCGGGATTCGAATAGGACCGAATGGGTACGTTATTCCAACTAAACTATCCGACTCTGCTATCGACCTTAAAAGAAGCTAAAATCATTATGGCATGCGAAAAAAAAAAACGTTACAATCTCACAGGGGTGTTCAAGTATCTGTAAAAGGTACTGGATTCGTGCATATCTCAAGCTTCGCTAAATTTTCTCCACTATTATTAGCAGCACTCGATCAGTTATGATTGAAGCCAAAGATTTAGATAATGTTGATTAAAAAAAAAGACTTTTATAAACAATTCGAAAATGGCAAGAGTTCAAAGAGTTCCTGTTTGGGTTAGCCGTATGGGTAATCAAAAGTTCTCTTTTTTTTCGGTTATATTTTGTCTTCCCTTCTAGTGTGGTTTCCTTCTTTCAAGTTAGCGTGTTCCTGTCCTTCTGGGCGGGAAATATCAGCCTTTGTAACTGATAATACGCGTGTGCAACGGACATTTCATACCGCCATTTATGTTTTAATCGCCTGCCTTTAACATAATTCTATGAATAGTTTACTGTCGTGCGCTAAAATAATTTTTAATGACTCTTAATGGAAACTCGCCATCAGACCGCAACCTAAGACCTGCCCGGCCCTTGTACTAAGCTATTCTGTAAACATGATAGTCACGTCAACAACAGACGCTGAACACCAATGAACATAACTTTTTCACTCCAAAACTATTTACATGTCCTATGCTCTTATGTCAGTTTACATGGTGATTTCTCAAAGAAACCTTGGGATGAACTCGAGGATAAACACGGAATATAGTAACGTGACTGTTCAAACCGCCTTCTTAATTATGGCACGCTGTAGCCATGAATGTGCGTAAATTTTCGTGGGTTATAGTGATACCGGAATAAGCTACTTAACTGCGGCACTTGCGAATCAAGGCACATTGGAGGTAAAACTCCATGATAGAATTTATTTTTAATCATGGACTTTAGCAAGATTGCAGAGCCATTCCACAAACATTACTACAGTCGAACCACTCTCTACGGACACCGTCCTCTTATCAAGGATACTTTGGACACTTTTCTCTGTATTTTCGGTGTCTGTAACACTTTTTGCAGACTCGTGTGAAGCGAACGTAACTAGGGTGTCGACGATACGTGCCATTCATTTTACGGCCACCCTCAAGCATAACCGTCAAGCGAATCCTAAAAAAGCTCATCATTATTTTAATTCTTCTAAAAACTTGCGTGACGTTGTTATAAAGACTCAAGAGCGTTTGTGTTGGCGGCGGCGGTTGGAATCAAGGACTGCGCAAAGCTTAGTGAATATCCACAGTTGCCCTAAGGCCCTAGATGTTTTAGCAGCACGAAATGGCAATTCGCTTATCAAAATTCAACACTTTGTTGCAGGAGTTAACCCTGTTGCCTCCACTGTATTGTGACTTAAAAGAATAAGCAGACTGTATCACTGATTTGCGACAAAAGGACCAAAAGAAATGTTTAAGTCTCACTGCTATTTTGATTCAGCGATTAAGAAGAAAATAAACAATCATTTTGGCCTTTGTTCGAAAAGAATCTTACTGGGAAAAAGAAGTAAAACACAGACAGGAAAAAAAGGCACAGCGTTTCTTATACCACGGTATTTTAAGATCGCTATGATACAAGCCATAACGTCTTTGCTTGCAAAAAGAAAGAAACAATCCCTAGTTTCTACCTAGACAGTAAGACAATAATATAAACTATTTTTATCATATCATTTCAGTGACAAATTAACTGTTTGGACTTCGTTCTGTCAACGGTATCATAAAATCCACTTAAACCCTACAGCGCATTCCGCATATTAACTGAAATTCCGCAGAAGCAATCAACAGCACCATGCAAAAACTTGCTTAGGGCCCGGACGCACTAGGCAAATTTTTGTTTATCTTGCGAAAAAATCTGACATCAGTTCCCTGGGAAAAGTGCACCCGATGATTTTTAGTTCTACCAAATTTTGTCAAGGTTTACTAAACTTCAGAGACGCCGTCGTCCTGCCTCGAGGCAGGACAAATTTTTGTCACGCGTGAAATCTGACAGATTTGTCAATTTACACGCCATAATTTGAAGGAAAATGTCAATTACGAAAATTTGATCTCTACTTTTAGTTGGAGTATTTCAATCCGAAGCGCGGCAATCAAACGGTAAAGATTCGTACCTCTGAATGCTGCATAAAGATCTTTACTCAGGATACAATTATTACAGTTCTAAAGTTTACGTTTCAGCTGCAACTCCAGGGCCAAGTATTGTTCAATTTATATCGGCTAAAGTAGTCGACAGCGCATTCTTTTACAGCCTTTACTTTTTTGTGTCCTATCGATGGCGCCTGCTATGTTTGGTAGATCTGTAAATTCTTCGAACGTTGCGATGGAGGCTCTTGTCTCATGTGATTGACACAAGTGGTTAACAAATATTTTGCTGCGTCTCAGTGCGCCCACGCTTGACAAATTGACATTTGGCAGGGACAAATTTTGTCGAGATTTCTGGTAGGGCCAAACAAATTTTGTCAGTCCAGTGCTTCCGGATCCTTAACTGCATGGTTCCCTTGCCACGGACCTACATTTGTCGCTGAGTGACTCTTCCGATGGGCAAAGATGCAACACACTTTCAGATGGGTCAACATTACCGCGGTGTCATTTCCGCTTGCCGCGGTTTTCGCCATCGCGTGAATCCAGTAAAATTCAACAAAAACAATGCGTCTAGACCACAAGTAGCTCTCGTGGCCCACGCGCAGCGGAGCTAATTTTATCGCCGTATTCTCTCACTTGCCCAACGGACAAACCTGGAATAGAGGGGCTACTTGTAGTTTTATCCATTCGGGAAAGATGCACTGGACTGAGGCGAGCGAAATAGACGGAAACAGAACCACATCTGTCAGTGTTTGACAAAACAACGTTAAACAAACAATTTTGAACGACAAAACAAAAACTTGATAAAGAAACGCATTGTTTTGAAGCTTGAACCGTGGCTGTTTCTAGTTCGCCAATGGCTGATCAAGAAAAAAAAACTAGTCTGTACATGTTTCAACATATTAATTCAGCAATCTTTTGTTTAGTCTCCTGTGAACTGAAACTGGAAGGAACCTTCCTCCACCAAACGGGATGTTCCAAACTGTAAGCCGAAACAATTGAAAACAAAGAGATGTTATGAGCCCTTGAAAAAGCTCAGAAACTAGCATTTCTGCTTTCAAATTCAAAGACAACTGAATGAAAGTTTCATTTTGTCCTCGTTGCTGTTAGTTACAGCAGTTAACAATCCTAAGGCTTTTCAGAGATTTTGAGTCGAAAAGCGATCGCATGTGACACGGAAAAATTCCCTGCTTAGCAAAGATACAAGTATTGACCATGTTTAATCCCTACTATTCTATGAAGAAAACAGTAACCAAACATGAGTTTTGATAGCAAAGTAGTTGTTTTCATTTGTAAAATACTCTCCGTCTCTGATCTAATAAAATAGGGTTGTAGGCTTGTGTAGTGCCAGACTTCTATTGACAATAGTGTAGCTTTTTAGAATTTCCAAATGTCTAGAACTGTTTGATTCAACTATGTTCGTGGTTTTGTAACCTGGATAATTTAGCTGGGGCGGATCTGTGCAGGGGAATGTTCGAATTCTGCGGCAACTAGCATCATAACAAAATGTGGGGTTGATTCAGTGGTTAAAAAAAAAAAAGAAAAATTGAAGGGGTTACGTTCACTATGCACAAACATGTTAATCGTTTTTGCCTTATCCTCACGACCACAAACGGAATAAATTTTTTCGAAAATTCTCGTTTCTTCCCACTAATCTTTGCAATCTAGAAGTATTTCCTCTATGCAGATCTTAATTAGATAAACTAGGTTTTTGTGGCTTGTTGTTCTCAGAATAGACCGCCTATGCGGAATTAGCAACAATTAAATGTCTAAATGAGTCATCGAATTTCCTGCTATTCGCACCTCGAAAACAACTTTCGTTGTTGTTTGTTTTTGTTAATGTTACTGTTGTTATAGCGTTTTTGTTTTCTTCCCTTATTTAACTGATATGTTTTGTTTTCATATTCCTCTACTCTAAGCCAGTGGTTCTTCACGCAAAGGTGCCCCGTCATAAAATATCTATAATCATTCATCCCAGTGTTCAGCAAAAACTGTTTTTGCACCAACACTTACCACTAGCTTAATCAAAATATTTCTTCATATACTTTTCTGCTTCTGCGAGGTTCTTTGAAGGATTACCAACAAAATATCGCTGGCTATGCCTCATAGGAAAGATTCCTTTATGATAAGATATCGGAACTCTTTTATCGGCTAATTTTGCTTTGATGCAGTAAATAAGCTAAAAATTTCCCGAAGGCGTGTCCCTGTGTTGCGAAATTGGTGTGGTCGGCATTTTTCAGGAATACCTGGAGTGCCAGTAATTGCTAGTTTTTCCGCTTGAGCTGTTTCATCCAGAACAATCTTCGCCATAATAAATTTAAAATAGCAATTGTTGCAAAACCTGGTCTAGACATGTCAATCCGGTCAGTGCTATTTTAGTCAGCACATGCTCTGGCATATTCTAGGATTGGCGCGGTTTTTATGTCAAGAATCATCACATTCTCTTTACAGAAGACAAGTGCACAATTGGCAAGCCTTTAATCTATACACAATGGATGCAAAATTACTGAGGCCAAAAGCCTTCTGCGTAAGTCAGTTCACTAGTGGGAAAAGAGACCACAAAATTCCAACCTTGCAGAGCACTTACATAATAGGGAACCTAGGTTTCGACATAAACTCTGTCAATAAGTGTTTTGATAAATGATAAAAAGAATACCATCTGATATTTCAAATGGGTCCTTCCCTTCAAACAGAATTTACTTTTTGGGTTTTGTAACAATGATATTTTTTAAAATAAACAGGACACAATTCAAAAAGTACTGAATCTTGATGACTGCGTAATTATGCCGAATCCATGCACTTTGTAGCTCAAAATACGAGCGAGCGGGCGAGAATTTATAATGAAATATTTCATTTCCTGAGCACAGCTGGAAATGTCGTAAAGAGTTGAATGCGTAGGCATTCGAGTTCAGTCAATTCTTTCATAACTTAATTAAAATGTAGATGTATCTAGAACTAAGCGGACATCTACATATTTTAATTTCTTACTTTGGTAGATGTTTGATGACCTTTTTTCAATCTCTTTTTCCAGCATTGTTATTATTAATAAATTGATGATTTCGATTGAATTATTACTGTGGCACTGTGGAAGACTTTGTCATCTACACCGTGGCAGTATTTCGACGATCATGACTCTTTCAGAAAAAACAATGTATGGCATAGTAACCGCGTGTTTTTCTGTCTGGGAAGACGGTATCCACATGCCAGAGCCATTATTGAACATTACATACGTGGTTTAGGTTAATAACGTTACTTATCAGCCTCAGAAAGGAAAGGTCATCTCTTCGGCTTTCGTGTTATGTGATTTCAGGAACTCGTAAAGCGATTAACGTGAATAATTGTTATTCTGCGAGATACTTCTAAGACGAAATTTTCATTTTAATCATAGATCGCTAAGAAACACCCCAAGCTTGTTTTTCTTCTACCGTATGAATTAGTTGCGCGTGGAATGAGATCGTCTTTTGCTTTAACTGACCTATTTCTAACCAGAACTAATCATATTACAATAACAGTGAAATCGCAGAACTGAACTATGTCAGGTGGGAAACTAATCATTCTATTATTTCTATTGCAAAGTTCGGAAACTGTTTATTAAAGTTTTGAAGTAGTTAAACAATGTGGTCAAACCCATTCGTGCTATGGTAACGGAAGAGTGAAAAATGCGTCGGGTTAAAGAATCATTGCACAGTTAGACCGCTTTCACGGGGGATCAAAAATAATCTTGTTTGAGATTTCCAATAAATTTGATCTTTGTTACTAATTCTTTGTTCGATAAAATCTTTTGAAAGAAATTATTTTCAACGATTAAGTATTATTTTTTGGTCTGCTTTGGAGATTGAACGAAACCAATGACCGGTTGTTCGCCCACATTTCATACCGCATTCACAGCAGGTCATCTGAGAGTAATTTTTCGGCTGAGTAACGCAGCCACCGCACCCTTAAAATTCCGCACACAAAATAGAATTTGAAGTATTTCCCCGCAGGATGAACTTTTCACCTCTTTGTCTATAAAAAGAGAATCGAAAGCTTTTGAAAGTCAGCATTAAGAGGATAGATCGATTCATTCGAGAAGAGATTTCCAGCGCCTCACTTTATTTTACACGATGAAAACACAGACCACAATAAGCATTTTGCTTGTCATCGTCGCATTTGCCATCTTTGCAACGGCGCAGAGTAAGTATAACCCTTTTTTATCTTTCTTTGTAACTTCTCTATCGATTGTTTATCCACTCTTCCAACAAGTTTCTAAACTAAGCGAAACAATAGTTGATTTTTTTGTTTTTATCATTTCCTGAAAAATTGCTCATTAGTTTTCGTTTTCTGCTAGCGAACCTTTTAGTTCGTACGAGGTCTAATACTTATGTCGGCTTTTCAATCATTATCATATTTATTACAATCATGTTTTCACGAGCTGTCAGTGTCCACTCTTATGTGGTTCAAGGGCTAAGTATTCGATGGTGTTAATGACTAATGATTTATTTCTCTCACAGAATGTGAGGACCACATGGAAGCAAAAACTTGCCAGTACTTTATCAAAATATATGGCAAGAAAAACATTGATGTCTGCAAGTGGAAACACATGAGGACCAACTGCGCTTTGACTTGCAAAATTTGTGGTAAGATACTGAAAAAGTTCTTGCACACAGAGCTGACTGCATGCGTTTTGATCATAAGCAGAATATCATTGAGTGCTCTTAGTCTGAGGATCTCAGACTTCTTTCCTACTTCAATGAAAGTGGACAGGTCTCGCAAATAGAGGAAATCTCGACAATGAAAAAAGCCTGACATGAATTTGAAATTGATGAGAGGGAACAGGTGAAATGTTATCAAATATTTGCATCGCCCGAATCACCAATTTTTTTGTATTTAGCTCACATTAATCATCAGGAAAATTTCTGTTTCTCTCTGTACAGTACCCAGACCAAAATGTGCAACATCACGAAGCAGATACGGCTGCTGCTGGGACAAAAAGACAGAAGCGAAGTCCTACGCGGGCGAGGGATGTCCCGGTAAGAAGATTAATCTCCTTTGTTAATTTTTTCCAGCTTTTTTGTTGTTTGGTTGTTTGCCTCTCTATCAGTTGGCCTACATTCTGAGTCGAGTACAGAGAGTCGATTTTTTTCTCGTGAAATTCTTGCGTGAACTATATCAAAACAAGAAAACAAACTATTCTCTCGTGGTTAGCTTGTTCTGTATGTCTTTTATTTTCTTTTTATACAAAGTTCCTGGAACTTTGATATGTTCCCACTAGAAAACGAGTTTGCTGTTGACTCGATTTCCGCCCTGCCCTCTTCATCGATCCGTTCGCCCCCGCTCAACCTCCGAGAGGAGCGTGGGCCAATTTCCCGAACAGCGGCTGATAACTGAGCAGAAGTTTAAAGTTTCACAATATTTTACCCGCAAAGTTCATCAGTAAGCCTCAATTTCGTGTACTCAACCCACGTCTCCTGGTTAACGTACAGAGAGTCACTTTCAGCGTGGGGTTAAAAATTCTGTGGTGTTTAAAATTCCTATGAATATAACCTAATAGTGGGTGTAATAGTAGTAGGTGTAACTTATGTTACGTTAGTTACACTAAGAAAACAGTGGTGTAACAAAATGTTTTTTCTATTAGAATGCAAAGACAGATACCCGAGCTATTGTAGACAGCGCGTGCAACGATTCTCGAAAGAAAAAGCCTGCAATGTACAAGGAAACGACATGTGTCCTAAAAGTTGTGGAGTGTGTAGTAAGTCAAGAACCTTATTTTATTTTGGGAAAAGGGAATTTGCTCTTATATGTAACTAAATCCAAATAGGATATATCAGAAACATTTGACCATTATAGTTTATATCACTAGCATTATTATTATAGTTATCAATATCGTTATTATCGTCATCGATATTAATATCCCTATCGTTGTCGTCATCGTTATTGTTTCGGTTATTACATTTTCGTTATTATTACCTAATAGTTATCGTTATTATAATCATTACTAACACCACCTCTGTCCACTTCTGACATGTCACACTTCTTAATCACATTTTAGAGATCAAGGCTGCTGCTCAAAGGCTGCCTGAATGTCTGGATTCCCCCTATGGTTGTTGCTGGGATCTTACCGCTGCCCTGGGACCTGGAGGAGAGGGATGTAGAGGTGAGTATGGATTACGCACCTCAGTTAAGCCTTTGTAGGACCCGTACCGGGCATCAGGCCTTACACGCTATTTAACGTTATTTTCACATAGTAGGCCTACATCAGCAATAGTACCTCTGCACATGACACATGTAACAACATTGCTTTGCATTTCTTTTGCTGCAGTCTGTAGGAACCTTTATACCAGAATTTGTCGTTTGTGGAACGGGTACTGCCAGCCAAATGCCTACAAGTTTGTTAAGGAAAGTGTGGTTCACAGATACAGAAACAGCTGTCCCGTCACGTGCGGAAAATGCAAAATAGGACAGAAAAAGCTGGACATTTCTTCCTTACGTAAGTAGACCATATCTCACACGAAATTATTTTTAATCTATTTTTCTCCATCAAGTATTTTCACTTGATAAATTGGGCATTAAAACGACAGAATGTCATACTAAATTCCAATATTACTGGTAATTTTCTCAAACCAAATTAGATAGTTTAGTAACTGTTGTTTGATGGATAAAATAGTGCAAATTTTTTTTCATTTGTTGCTCAATCAATAATTGACCAAAACACATTCGCAATTATCACTTACCGATTTTAGGTCATTTTCTCGATGCATTGAGTTACTATGGTAACACTAAAACCCCCTTAAAACACTTTTACGTTCAGGTCTTCAAAAAAGGCGAGTTCCATCAAACCCTTTTTACCAGAAAAATGCTTGCTCTTTTGAGATATCATGATTCACGAAATTTTCGAACAGTCTGAATCGTAGGTTCAGAGCCACCTTAAATATTACAAAATCACAGCATAAAAACATCCATGCGACTAAGACAATGGTATTAGGGCCACAGTATCAAGAAGTTCGCGGATATCATTTCAACGTCCTGCATAAAGCCTTATAGGAAACTTAAGTCGATTGCTAATAGACTCTTTTTGTTTGCAGGGAGACTTTGACACACGCGAAACTTCGAATTCTTCAATACGTTAACAAAATATGTCCTCTACGAGTGCCACAGGCAAGAAAAGACGAAAAATCCTCAGGAAAAGGGGCTACCAACGTAAAATAATTTCTTCTCTCAATTTGAAATGAAAGCCACTAAACATGCAGTAAATATTTGAAGCATCGAATTTTGCATTGCAAGCAGAAAGAACGTGTATAGTATAAGAGAAAAACAATATTATTTATCAGTTATTTATAAAACGTCTCTTAATGAAAAATAAAGTACGTTGCTCCGACTTCATCGTTGTATTTTTGAGGTATCAGTCTTAGATCCTAATCCCCTCCGAACAAAAGCAAAAAAATTGGAGGCCTCCTGATCACAGATTTGGCTACATACCCCTGAAAGAAAATGATATTTAGAACGAACGGAGGTTTACCGTCTCACGCCGATTAAAAACACCAACAGTAAACGTATGATTAAACGTCAATTATTACGAGTAAGCAAGTAGTCTCACAAGGGATTTATCACTTAAATTTTTCTTCTCCCTCATCAAAATCAAACAGACCAAATAAAAAATCAAAACTTTCGGAAAACAAAGGTGGTTTCTAGAAGCGTTCGAACCTTGCTCTATTCTTCAAAGTTTTGGCCTCGAAAACTATCACCACCTTGTCGTTTATTGAATGAAAAATTAATCCATTTGCCATTTAGTCTCTCACGCTTCCTCGCGGTTACATTTGATTTGCGTTTTCATTGGTTCCCTGATACGCGGGGGTTTTCCTGATTGATCGATAAGATTTCTATGGTGCACATTTCATTTAAGTCTGGCATGCAGTCCAAAAGAACTTATATTATAATAGCTAACTATTCCGAACACGGAAAAACTTCATCGTTCAAGACTATCATACTCAAGTTAGGCAAAGTAAATTGCTTGACCATTTTAATTTGTCATGTAAACACTGTTCATAAATACATTAAATACCAATGCGGTAAACAAATAATAAAGAGAATAACATCATTCATAAATAATAACAATAATAACAAATATAATAAATATAACGATATCAAAATGTACAGTCCTTGATAGCACTAACATTCCAATGATATGCTGATAAATAAAATATCTTATTGAAATGACTTTTCATCTCCTCTTGTTGCCTCCAATCCGCCCTTTTCGCCGGTCGTCAACGACTTCGTAGACTCATCATATAATATCAGTTTCTTTCTGTTAAAAAAATTAAATAAGGACAAAGTTTTTTTTTGGAATAGTTTGTACAGAACCATCCTCAAAATATTCATAACAAAGAAGTCATGAGCATGTAGTGTTAAATTTGGAAATAGCTTTGGATCTGTAACGATCCGATTTAAGCCTAAAGTGGTTGTGCGTTCGGAGAGAAAATAAGAGACAATTGTATCTGGCATAAAATCTCAGAGTGCGCAGTATGTGATGATCAGCTGGCCACATGGAAACGAGCGCAAGACACTACTTACGCAGCATTTCGAGAAGAGAAGGCCCAGGGATGCGACTGAAACGATGAGTGTACACTTATGCATAAATCAAGTATTTGTAATTTTCCCGTTGCAGCCTTAAAATTAGAAGCTAAAACATATGACAAGCTTCCCTTCAGACCTATTATTCAACCAAAACTTGGCAAGAAGCTTACACTCACTGTAAACAGAGAGATCCAACATCTTTTGTCCTATCCTGCACTTTCCACACGTCATGGGACATGTTTCTCTGAACTCATCGATGACATTTTTCTGGACATACTTATAAGCTTCGTCCTTGCAGTAATGACTCCATAATTTACAAAGCCTTTTAAAACCATGGCGGTCTCTGCAAGCTGCATAGTAAAATATACATAACATGTTAATGGACTGTGGCCAACATTTCTCTTTTCTTTTTTCTCCTTCTTATTTTTTTCAACAACAAAAGGTTTGGGAACACAGTAACTGAGTAGGCTCTTTATGAGCATTTTGATCCGAAACCGAGAAAATAGTTTTGTTAAGAATTGTTCAAAGTTAAAAAATATACATATACATAAGTATATATATGAATGTGGGGGTAGAGTCTACGTTGGCATAAAGTGCTCAATGCTGTGGTAGCAGAGCTAAGTATACATAAGTTAAAGAATTAAAGAGGACGCATCGATTCTCTGTGACTCTGAGTTTTGCGCCTAAGCGCGCGTCAGACAGAACTTTTTCGCTCGTCAGACAGAAATTTTCTATATATATATTTTCTGTATATATAAATATATTTTCTGTATATATAAATATATATATGTATATATATATATATATCAGCCTTGCATAGTTGTGGAGAATTTAGGTTAACCCTGTAATCCCTCCTTCTCTGGGCGAACGAAAGCGGTGGCAAGACTTCAAGGTTCAAAATTCTTGCTCACCTACGCATCCTTCGCCAATAGGTCCCTGAGCAGAGGTAAGATCCCAGCAACACCCATAGTGGGAATAAAGACATTCAGGCGGCGCTTGAGCCGCAGCGGCCTTGTGTTCTATTGAAGAGATACAAAATCCAAATCATCAATACGATTTTTCTATGTTAAATAGATTGCATGATCACAAAGATTGACGTAAAAAAAAGCAGCTGATAACCACGCAAGAAAGCCAGAGAGATTCCCTGGCTCATCTTGGGTTTACTGGCTATCATGTATCTCGCTCAGTGATATTGTAAGATCATTTTATTTGCTAACAAAAACACAGTGCTAATGGATACGATTCCCGTTAGATGGACAAAAATGATTTTCTTTTTCCGAATATATCAGAACAGAGTTCAATTCAGTTGGGACTCATTCGAGTGATAAGGAAAATCAAACAACCACGAAGCGGGAGTCCGATTTTGTTATAATACGAGTACGATTTTAGACAGAATTAGACTACACAAAATTCTGTTCCCAATTAATCAAAGTTGTGACAAAATTTGATAGACAGATACCTTCTGGTTGAACATATCCATAAACAAAAAAAATAACAGTTGGCTTTTTCCCGCGCGGAGATGAACCCAATAGCCTACAAAAACAGCGCGCGTAAATGACGCAGACGGTCCCACTTCACAGGCATGGCGCCGCATGGCGAGTCAACTGTTCTATTAGCTCTGAAATTGCATTTCTGATAACCAATCGGGATCGAGAATTTTTCATGGTCCAGTTAATTATTCATCATTAAAAAGTGGCAAATATAAGGATCTCATCTTCCGCGTACCAAAAAGGTTTTCCTTCACTTACCGCAAACACCGCAACTTTTGGGGCACATCTTACTTCCATTCTTATTGCAAGCGCTTTTCCTTGGATGCCTTGCAATTCGCTCTCTGCAGTAGCTTGGAAACTGATCCCTACATTCTGTTCGAAGAATTGAAAAGACGAATTTACTTCATGCAGCCATGTGATGATTTCTTATGGGGAATATTGCTGTCAGTGATTAAACATGTGTTTTCCGAAAAATAACCAAAAGTCGTTACCGACAGTTTGTGAGCCGTAACTTGCATTACTCACTGGCTCACCTCGAAAATGGACACTGACCTCGAGAAAGAAAAGTTTGTCATTCTTGCTGTGTGCGAACACCTGGCAAATTGCCGCAGTTTTAAAATGAAAACTACACGAGTGTATTACTCCGCAGTAATATAATCGAAATTGAAAAAAGAATGACAAAAATGTGCCTACCAGGACAACCGTCGCCAGCATATGATTTCGCTTCCGTTTTTTTGTCCCAGCAACAGCCATATCTGCTGGCCTTAGTTGCACATCTTGGCAGAGGAACTATGAAGAAAGAGCACGATAAAAACATTTCAATTAAATTTGATCTACTGGTAGCCATGCACTTACGACGAGTTGCGTTTTTAACCAAAATTAGTGTGGAATGAACAATTAAAGTTAATAGTAATCGACGTCTGGAGCTGCTGACTGCCCTTTTATTTTGCGTTATTAAATCCCATGTTAAACTTCCTCTGATCTATGCATTTGGTTTGAATCCTTGGATGCCTGCAGTTGGCCTTTTTTAGCTATCATTACTATAAAAGAAATCGGCTCAGTTTCATTCAGCCTTAGGAAGAGTAAAATACAGAAATATAGATAAAAGGAATGAATAAATATCTTACCGCAAAATTTACAAGTTAACGGGCAGCTAGTCTTCATCTCCGGCCATTTGCAGGAATCACGATATGTTTGGACAAAATGTTGACAAACTGGGGTTGTAATACTGTCTCGACATGCTGCGGGAGAAATGGATATTATGATGAATCGTCCGTATTGATTCATTGTTCAATGAGAAAGTGAGGTCTGAGCATTTCCTATAGTAATCTGTGTGAGACTGAAGCAGGCTTTTCCCCTCTGAAGGACCAGATCATCTTCGACTCTGGCTGGTTATCGGTCTTCTTCGGCAAAGAGCTACCAAACTACAATGCGGCAGTTTTTCATCAAACAGTAAAAAAATTTATCCAATTTCCTCATTCATTTTAGTGATTTACTCAGTCATTTATTTATTTTTTGTGCTCTTCGCTACTTTATTTTTAAAGATATTTAAGCGATGGACAAAGCATTAAGGATTTTTCCTTCCGAAACACTTTCTGCTGCACTAGATATTTTTCACTGAAAAATAGTTAGTTGAGCTTTTCCATTCCGGTTATAGGCAGAAGAAGTTTTTTTCCTGACTGCCAGTGAACAAATCGGTTGCATGGTTCATACTTTTTTTGTAACACCAACAGTTTTTTTACATCAGTCAAGGCAATGTAAAAGAAAAAGAAAACTAACATACATGTACACAGACGGTACTACTTACTTTTCGCCATTGAGGACATTGTAAACGAGAGAATGGCAAAAACAACATTTACCAAAGGTGTACTCATCTTCGAGCTTCACTTCTGTACCACCGCTTGTAGCTTCAAATCTTTCGAGTTTCAGTGATCTTGGTCTTCGTCGAATTGAACTGATTTTACAAATTGACGACGCTCTTATATTGACGGAGGGGCCGACATTGCTCTGCCGAGCCGAAACTGATACTCCGCCGACGCTCGGGGGCGGCGACGATGATGTCGTCGGAAATGCGGACGTGGGATCGTTTATCGCTACGACCGCCCGACGTCCTCCGAAATTTTTTTGATTGAATCAAAAAATTTGATCGAGCTAGTTAATAAGTCGAGAAGCAGTTACACAACGACGAAAGTTAAGATATTAACAACAGAGAGGACTCCGAGTTTCGTTACAATGTCACGGAAATTTTAACCCATCGCGCGAGATGCAGCATCTTCTGTAAAAACTTATGTTGCTCTGAGTCCCAAACGTTTTCGTATTGTGTGGCAAGGAAATACTTCAAGTAGAGTCATCAACTTCTATTTCCGAGTGAAACGATTTTCTATGTTTAGATACAACGAAAAGGAAACAGATTTTGATTTACACCTACTTACCATAATTGTCACTGACTCACTGACCCAAGAAGATTCTCGTAACCTTTGTCTCGTATTTCATAACTCCAAAAAAAAAAAAATTAACAACGCGTAACATAAATTCCATTTGAAGTCCAGACTGTTTTAAATTCACATGTAAGCTAAATTACCTGTTACTATCTTGTCGTGTTTTCTACTCAACCCTACGGTGCACTGTTGCGCGGTGGGAACTTTTTCGAAGAATAAAATTCCTCATTTAGCTTAGTTTAAAAGTCCCCTTTATTTTACTCCTTTTTTTTCTCATTGCAGTGTTGATTATTTTATTCGAAACACCCTCGCGAGTACGAAACAATTTTGGCCGTTTCCTCCCTTGGGTTTCCTCCTCTTTCTCTCTTTTCTTGAAATCTTTTCTTCCCTCTCTTTTTTTAGGTTAACCAAGTGTCACCCCTTTGGCGCTTGCTGTTATCTCGCTTCCTACTATCCCGTTTGTTTCCCTACTTCCGGTTACCTCATTTTACGAATGTGTGAAAAATTCACGTACTACTTTCCCCGTCCAACTGGCGGGGGTGGGAGCTTGAGGTGGGATGCACCGACCCCGTCTCCAACTATGGTTGGATGCTGCGCATGCTCAAGTAAGAGCACACGGTCCTTTACGCCAGCGGTAGAAAGGAGAACGAAATTTGCTATTGTGTAAATGAACTAAAAAACAAATAAAAAGTGTACTTACGGTCCAGAAAGAAATGTTGAGGGTTTATCCAGCGTGCCGTTCAGTCCAACCTCCCGGTCAAGTTTGGAAGCGAGATATGAAGGGATGTATAATTGCCTTTCACCCAGCTGTTCCACTGTTTAAGCTTCCCGTGCGCAGTGGACCAGTTGGTATAAATTGCATCGGACTTAGAGCTAGCTAGTAATACCATCTTCTTTTAAGTGAATTGCTGCCTAGAGGATATGAAAAAAGAACAACGGCAAGCTGTAGAAGCGATTGTGTTATATTCCAGAGAAGTCATCCAGCTTGTACTTGTGATGTAACAGCTGATGATTGTAAAGCTAACATACAACATATATAAATTAGTTAGAGAACTTTTCTGATGTTTCCATGATTTACTTCACTTCTTTAACTCCCAGGATCTGATTGTTAATTCTCCCCTTTAGCTGCTACACATTTTCTCATAAATTTATTATGAGAATTTGGTTTTCAATCAAGATAAAGACTTCTACCTGATAAGTTTGAGTATTCTCATCACCTGTTTGCTGGATAACATATGGAAATTATGGAGAGAAGTTACATGTTAATCACTTCTGGGAGTTAAAGTGTTAACAATTAACCCCTCACCCCAAAGATCTCCAGAGTAATTTTCTTTTCTATCTGCCATACAATTTTTATGATTTTGGTTTGGAAAATTTATTATTAGATCAACTTGAAATCCCCAAATTCATATTTTCTTTATTCTCAAGAACTTGTGTGTTTGATATTGTTTTGATATTTGAAGGAGAAATTCTGTCCTGGTCACTCATTGGAATTAACCCTTTAACTCCTAGAAGTGATTGACATAACTTTTTCTTATAATATCCATACATTATCCAGCACACAGGTAATGAGAATACTCAAATTTATCAGGTAGAAGTTGGTGTCTTGATCTACACATACCACCAAATTCTTGTTACTAATTTACAAGGAAATGTGTAGCAGGTGGAAGAGAGAATTTAACATCAGATCTTGGATGTTAAAGGTTTTAAGGGTAAAAACATGTTAAATTAGTTTCTTTTGATGCTTTAATTGATATTTTCCTGTTTGAAATGATAGTGTTTTGAACCTTTGAACTGCACTTTCATGTTATTTTAGTTGAGAATAAAGTTGTTTAACAAATATTGTAATATTAACTTATTTCAAAATAACTTAAGGATGGGGAAAGGAAAATTTTACTTAATGGTAAAATTTTGTAACCTTTTAAAACTATTTTTTGACCCTGAGTTTTCAGAAAGCATATGTATATAAATCAAAGTAATCCTTGTATTTTACTTAATGTGTATCATATGTGAATATGCAGAATGGTGTTTTGTGTTTAAGATACTAACGGCCCTTTGTATACACCTCAGAAATTTAGATTTATCTAACAGATTTACAACTTATGATAAACAATATGTACCATGTGAACAGATTGTAAACTTTCTCTCATAGGTAGGCCATTCTGGTTATCAAGCTCACACAATTAGGCCCTTGGAATGAATTTACATGTTTATAGCAATAATGTTACAGGCACGGAAGGTTTGAAGTGTTGCACCTTTTGAGGTGTTCCTTTCTGTCATGGAATTTGATGTTGAAATCTCCACATCCAGCTTTTCAACATCACACTCAGGCAAAACATACTCATCAAGAAAGGTTTCAGTGGTCCTGGTGACAAACTCAGCTTTCTTTTCCTAGGAGGAATGTTTGGGTGGAAATTTGATGTTTGTGAGTTGCCTATAAATGCTATTAATACCAGCCTGTTTCATAAAATCTACACCAGAATATTCCTTTGTGGCCTCTCCCATGAATTCTGCAACAGCTTTGTAGTTTTTCTCCACAGGGTAATAGAACTTCTTTTGGATGCTGATGATCAAAAATGCAACAGCAGGAGAGCCTTGCATTGGTGGACCACAGAGGGAATCTGATCTGAAGATGTACCAATGCAGCTATGGAATTCATCCATTAAAAACTGAGCACTACAGCATGTAGGTGACATGTTCTCAATCAACCTCATTACCTAAAGAAGACTAGCAGTTCACAGTGCAAACATTGTGATCCACATCCAAATTGACCACATTGTGAGACAAACAATTACATTTCTCCTTTGATAGCATTAACTTGTCACTAAAATCTGCATTTGTTTGCATGCGCTGGTTAGTTAACCCCATCCAGACCCTCATATACAGACTATAGCTACAGTACACTTCATTCCCTCATTCATTTGGCCAGTTGGTCAGTTGGTTGTTCAGTCAGGCAGGCAGTCATTCATTCTTTTTCCCAGTCATTCCTTTCAGTTGTTCATGCAGTAATTTATTCAGGGTATTTATGCTTTCCTTGTGCATGGTTTATGACTTTTTTAACTTTAATTACTGTCATTGTGCCATGATGATTTATGTAATATTTCAGTTTGTTATTTATTCATTTATCTATTGTGGCTCAATAAAGGCAGCTAAAAAGCTGAAGTGGATATGTATGTAAAAACTTCAATTAAGGAACATCTACAATTTTAAATAAGTTAATGTAACAGCTAAAATTATATAAAATCTCTAGAGAATATTTAAAATTTAATTGAGTTAACCGTTTAACTCCCAAGGTAAGAAAACTGACATCCTTGATCTGTTTTGACATTTTTCAATTGAAGTGATATCGAAATGCATTAATTGGTGTGCCAAAAATAGTGTTTGAAATAAAGGCATTCCAATATCACTTTGATTGAAAAATGTCAAAAGATATCAAGAATATCAGTTTTGACATTTTTCACTCAAAGTGAAAAAAAAAAAGCATTCCAATATCACTTTGATTGAAAAATGTCAAAAGATATCAAGAATATCAGTTTTGACATTTTTCAATCAAAGTGATATCGGAATGCTTTGATTGGTGTGCCAAAAATAGTGTTTGCAATTAAAGCATTCCGATATCACTTCGATTGAAAAATGTCAAAACAGATCAAGGATGTCAGTTTTCTTACCATTGCGTCCAACTCTGCACACAAAAGCACACACAAAATCCCACTTCTCACGTATTCCTGTAATATTGAAAGAGCCGTTGAAGTTAAACTCTCATTGAAAAGTAAGCGCGAGTCAGAAAAGGGAAGAGAGCTCGACAAGCGACATTTAATGCACGTCATAAAACTACTTAATACTATAAACATTCAGGCCGGCTAACCGACGCGTGCTAACTGTGGTAAACCGGGAGGCCGGCAAAACTGTGGTAGAATTAAGTCTTGTTGCTATTTCAATTAACGCTTTCATGAACGACAACGAACAAATGTAATATCAGCAGGGAAAAAAGAGGACAAACTTTCCGAAAAGTTACGAATTGACTCTGCTTTACTGCAAGGCGAAGTGAAGACTCTTCCACACAGTGACCACACGATGTAGTGGTTTCGCGCCAATCTTTACATTCGATGACGTCATGCCCCCCAGTAGATCGCCGTCCCATTTGCGGTTTGTATTTTTGGTGGTTTCGGCGAGATAGCCTTCACGTCACGCCACGAGCAAGCTCGACGATTCGCCACAACATTGAAATATTTTATGTAAGGCCTAGTTCAAACGTCGATCTTTACATGTACCGAACCTAACGTTTCTATTAAGTACATGTAAAGATCGACGTTTGAATCAATTAGGATCGGCAGATTTGTATTCGGATCGACAGTGCCGTTCTATCCGACTCGGCTAGTCGGATAGAACGGTAAAAGATCGGCATTGATTCATACGTCGTACTTTACATGTACCGAACTTAATGCATACATTATACATACGTTAAAATAATTATGTTTTACCCACGATTCAAGAAAGTTCGCTTACGTGCCATGCGCGAAAGCCTTCGAAACATTCAAACAATATGGCGGGAAAGGAGGAAGGCTCGTGCTCCTCTTGTTTTAAAACCACCAGCCAGAATTTCTTTTCAGTCGACGACACGAACGAACTGGACGAGGAACTGTGATGTTCCTTTGGGAAATAAGCAATAATAGAAGGCAAGCCAAATTCAAAACTCGTCTTCTCCTGGCAGCATGCAAGGTTGTTTAATGCTAACTGCATCTTGAGTCGCCTTTTTCTACCCTCCTTAATCGCATTTGTAAGAAAAACAAGCTCTTCATTTCCACAAGTTGTGCTTCCCGCATTTTTTCCGCCATTTTGGTAGGCATTAACCGCTGACTACAATGGAGTTATGTTCAGTTTTGCAATTAGGATCGACTAAATTCGGATCGACGTTTGAATCAACTGCCGCTCTTAATTATTCGAGTCGACCCAAATTGCAATTAGGTTCGGTACATGTAAAGATCGACGTTTGAACTAGGCCTAATGCTATGCAATTTAATGTTGAACTAGATAGATTCACTATCATCAAACGCGCGTGATAGTTGAAAATATCATTACCTATCATGACCGTTTGGTCGAAGCTTCAGCCTCGTCCTCGCAGCGCAATTTCGGCACCAGATCACTAAATCGCGAGAACTCGAAAGTGGCCTATCACTTTCCCTTGAGTTAACGGTTGAGCCTCTGTCATTAGGAAACATAGCTAGCAGTTTCCGATAAAAAGAGAAGTACTGCGAGGTTAACTTAATGTACTTTCCCCGCAAAATTCCATAAAACTCACCGTTACTCACCGAAATTCCCACTTCAGCGCACCTCTAAGTAGGCGATTCACTCAGTAGTTGAAATAGAGGTTATGCAAATTAAAGAGAGGCATTTTCATTTGTGTAATGATAAAGGTGATTTAAAAGGCTTCCAAACAAACTTTGAAACATTATTTTTACAAGTATCTGTCACAATCTAACACCTGTCGAGTAGAGAGCGCGCAAGAACAAACAGCGCGAGTACACTTTAAATAAAACCACAGAAATAGTTTGGTAAGGGCTGTCATTACAATGTTTTCTTCAAAAACAGAAAATGATCTTACGAAAAGTATTATTCACTCTCGTCGACGACTAATTAATTTACGAAGATTTACCTCTGTTCAGTAAGTAAATGGCTACGAAAGTAATTGTAAGGAAATTCAAATTTGTTATTTCGAAGTTGTGAGAGTTTGCTCGTTTGGTTACTGCGATGACGTGTGTAAATCTGGTCTTTCCTTTACAAAAGGTGAGTGAGACATTTCAACGAGACACAAAAGGATTTTATTTAGCTTTTTCTCACTGAATTCCTTCAGTTTCTATTGTACAATTAACGGTACAAATGTCCAAATTGAACGGACTTGGAAAGACACCGAAAGCGTCTTGGTAGTAAAACTGAAAACTTCGCTCGCCCTTTCACTACGAACAACTTGTTTGAGAGAATTCAGATATTAAGTGGATGAAAGTTCCTCAATTAACCAAATACCTCACGTTTTAACTTTCTGGGTACTTTTTGTGAAGGATTAAATTTAACTACAAACGGTTTTTAGGCCGCTTGTCTACTAATTTAATGACAATTTTGCTTATTCAAATAGGCTTAAGGTAGGCTTTAGGTAGTGATCGACGTCTTTACTTATTCAAATACATTTCGAAACCAATATTTTTTGTCAACCTAAGTGATTGGAGAGAGAGAAAAGAGAGGTTTAATCAATTAATTATTGGCTTGAGGTAGTGATCGACGTTTTTGCTTAAAAATACTACCCAGGCGGAAAAACGAGATATATTTATAAAAATGGCAACGAAAGTAGGGCAGAGATAGGAAAATACGGACCGCGCTGAAAACCAATCAGATTGTAGGATTCGTTACTGTGCCCTCTGGAAAAAAAATAATTCGTGATAATGCGAGCAAGAACTTACTCTTCCCTTGTATCAACATTATCTTAATCCATTTATGATTAAACAGCGGCGAAAAGTCGTTGATCTCTCTCCAAAAATGGTTTTTTTGAACAACTTTTCGCCATATTTTTCCCTCTAAAATCTTGCAATGTTTGCCCGGTGGCTATCCCAGAAATCTCTGCGCATATACAAGGATCCGGTTTCTGGCAACTCATTCATTAGCAAATTTTCGTTGTGACGAAATAGATCATTGGCCATTCTACATGTACAAAGCATGCGAAGATTCAAGAGAAAACTCGTGCTGATAATTTTAATCTGTGTATATTTTGCAATTTTTATTAACGTCGCTATGGATCCGCTGTATTTGCAATGGATCCATCGCTACGCCTTCGGACATGAAATTTTACGAGGAGATGTTGTGAACAAGCATGCTGAACTCTCAAGGCGTATACATTGCAAAGAGAAACTAGCAATCCCTGGCGAAATGTGTCCCAAACTTTTTTCGGAGATTTCCTCCTGCGATCTAACTGAGGATGGATTTTCCTGTCCTGACATCCGACGTAAAGGGAATACTACGCTGCGACAGGCCCAATTGGTACTAACAAGAATATTACGAGTATTTGACCTCATTTCACGCAAGCACAACATGCCATACTGGGTGCGATCCGGATCCCTTATAGGAGCCATAAGGCACAATGGGTTTATTCCATGGGATGATGATATAGATATAGAGATACCACTCATGTATTACATCGACTTCTTTGAAAAATTCTCCAGAGAACTACCGGATGATATGTTCTTCCAAACTACCAGGACAGACGTGAACTACACGTACCGACTGCCGAAGAGTCTTTTTAACATTTGGTCGGTCAGTGATCAACGAGTGGGATTGCATCATCACCCTAGGCTTCCCAAAGTCAGAGATCGATCTAGCTGCTACAAATTTTGTCTTAAAAGAGGATGCGCTTATCACGACGGTCTGCAGCTCGATATCTTCGTGGTCGATTCAATTCCTTGGGGAATATTTCCATTGAGGGAAATGACCTTTGAGGGATTCAACATTCTTGTTCCAAACAACTGGAAAAGTATGATAGCTGCCGAGTATCCACAGTTTATGGACTTACCTGAAAAGGAGTTGAGGCTCCCGAAAAATATGGACATTGATCCCGTGCACGGGTGCGAGGAGCTGTCAAAGAAGTAGGTCAGTGCGTAGATCCGAGCGTTTGCGCGCTTTCTGATCGGTTAACATCTATTGTTTATTTGCTTGTGTACCCATTTTATTTGCTTGTGAATCCACAGAAATCTGAAATGTGGAACATCGATTACCGCAAGATAATATAGATTTTAGCTATGTGGCCAGGTCGTTTGAAATGGGTAGACAAGAATCTTGTTCTACATCAATTCAAAATGGCTGCCCAAGTACTTGCTTTAGGCGGTATCTTATTGGTGAAACCACTTCCTCTCACAGTCACATTTAAGTCAGAACGCAAAAGATTGAGATTATACAGACATCGGCGACAACAGAAATGAAATTTGTAATTGAGATTGTGAACACTTCGGGCTTGAGGAACATACTTTAGTTTAGAGCGCACGATCTTTACTGATCGCAGCAAATGCATGAGAAGGACACGTGAGTGAAGCAAATGTATCTCAAAAAGAACTCTTAGGATGATTTTGTGATTTAACCCTTTCACTCCCATTATCTCTTTATTAATTCTCCTTACTGTCTGCCATACATTGTTTATAATTTTAGTTTGGAGAATTTTTATTTTTATTTTTATTTTATTTATTTTTCTATATTCTCATCTCTTGCCTTCTTGAGATTGTATTGATATTGTAAGGAGAAATTCTTTCTTGGTCACTTTGTTGACAACTGTAAAGTTTATAGTGTTTCACGTTAATTGCACGCTTTGGTTATATGACCGGTGTCTGGTCAAAGTTTTCAAACAGCTAAATGACAGGGTCGTAACAAGGTAGATTTTTTCATAACTGATCCTGTATTTTTGCCCCAAATTTTGATCCCTGATCACAAAAACATTGGGAATTTTGATCCCTGATCCCAAAAACGTTCACAATTTTGATCCCTGATTCCACTAAAACACTGCTGATCCCGATCCCAAGTGTTGTGATCCCAGATCCCGGGGCTGTAATCCCTGATCTCATATACCTTGTTACGACCCTGTAAATGACCAGATTTTTTTCCGAAAATTAAACAAATTGAGTTATCTTAAAGGATGACAAAGAATAGGAGGGCAATACTGAACGCGACACGTTTGTTTCAACTCTATATTATAAAATAATTCAAATAGTACGCGCGCTCTGATTGGCCATAAAACCATTTTACATGAGCGTATGTAAACACGGTTTTCGTTCCTCTTTCATTAGTTATTTTATAAAAGAAATGTAAAATGGTTTCCGTGTTTAACTTAACAGTATAGGATATCGTCACAAGGTCTACTAGTGGTCAAGGTTCTTACACCACGAGATGACCGCTAGTCGCAAATTTTTATAAATTTTTATATAAGTCGATTTTGCCACTTTGAAATTTTAACCGGGACTTATTTTGTCGGCGGTGCGTTAGGAGATTCGTTCGCTTCGGCCAAAATTTTTCAAGTCACGACAAACCATCCGCACTTGTAAAATGTTGGTGTTGACAGAAAATTTGCCTAAATAAACAACTTTGTCGCTAATGCTGAAAATTTTTGCGACAGTGACAAGTTTCTCTCAACCACAACTGTCATTCAGTTCTGGCTGTAAGCGGTCATTTAAGCACATAAACCGACATTATGTAGCTTGTTATTCCATAGGCGGCCCAAGCTCACGTCGCGAGAAAAAGCCAACGAGGAATTCATGAACGCGTCACGCGTTGTGTGACTCGGTGCTAAGTTACGGGAGGAACCGTTGAAAATTTGAACACGTTATAAAGAATAGTATGGGGAACGAAATATGGTCGATTTACAACGATAAATATTTCGAAATATGAATATTTTACACGTAAAATCAATAAAAACTTACTCGTGCCCTGTGTATCCGTCGTAGTTTCTGGCGATTTCTGCCGTTTTAAGCTTGCTTTACCATCACTGTTATCCATGTCTTTGACGTGTATCCGTCGTAGTTTCTGGCGATTTCTGCCGTTTTAAGCTTGCTTTACCATGGCTTATACTATTTTGCGAAACGAAACGAAACGAAACGAAACGAAACGAAACGAAACGAAACGAAACGAAACGAAATCGGGTCAGATGAAATAAAACAAAAGAAATAATGCAGATATATTTTCTAATAAGGTAAAGATAACTTTCACAAGGATTTTGGAGTAATCGTTCATTAACAAGAAGGATTTTTATTCATTTCGCAAAATAGTAATTTTAGGAGAGTTACTATTTTGCGAAATGGACCATTTTCACCCCTGCGGTGACAACGTGACCTCTTTCATGTCACGATAATACATCTAAACATTACAAATTAGTATATCAACGAACATTTTGGCCTCCTCTTATTTCTTAAACCGTATTAAAATATATTTCGCAAAATAGTAATTTTAGGAGAGTTACTATTTTGCGAAATGGACTATTTTCACCCTGAGGTGACAACGTGACCTTTTTCATGTCACAAAAATACATTTAAACATTACAAATTAGTATATCACCGAACATTTTGGCCTCCTTTTATTTCTTAAACCGTATTAAAATATATTTCGCAAAATAGTAATTTTAGGAGAGTTACTATTTTGCGAAATGGACTATTTTCACCCCTGCGGTGACAACGTGACCTCTTTCATGTCACAAAAATACATTTAAACATTACAAATTAGTATATCACCGAACATCTTGGCCTCCTCTTATTTCTTAAACCGTTTCAAAATTTATTTCGCAAAATAGTAATTTTAGGAGAGTTACTATTTTGCGAAATGGACTATTTTTACCCCTCAATAACTTTCTTTTTGGGTCACAAAAATACGCTTAAACATTTCATTATAGTATATTCTCGAAGGGTTCGGTCACCTCCTCTTTCTCTATCCAGATATAATTAATTTCTCAAAGTAATAATGTCAGAAAAATTACTGTTTTGCGTAATAGCTAGGCTATTTTCACTCAGCGGTAACGATGTCGTTACTTCTCGTGTCATACAAAAGGTTTTCGGTAAGTTTCAATTTAAAGCACTATCAAATCTCAAAAGGTCTAAGCTATCTTCACCTATATAAACGTCTTCTAAATTTATTTCGCGAGGCAGTAATTTTGGAAGAATTACTGTTTTGCAAAATGGACCATAAATGATTTAAATGCCGCCTGAGAAAACTGACTCGTGACAGATTGGGTTTACAGGTCTCACCTTTCCTTGTACGTAAGTGTTTTAATTAGCTGTGGTCTGTACTTCTTCACTGCCAAGCAACAAGGCGGTGTTTTCCTTTCCTCAGCTTCAAATGATTAAGTAAGAGCCAATTAATAACTCCATCTCAATAAACATGCAACAAGAGGTTTGGGCTAACAGGTTCATTTAATCAAAATCGACAATCGACCGTATTGCGTGACGCCGAAACCAAGTCAAGAGAACCCTGCTGAAGGCCCAAACCGAGGTTGTGTCCAATTAATGACATGGGAGGGAGCGGAAAGTAAGAGGTAAAAGCTGTTTTTACTAGCGACGGAGCTATTCTAGGGGGAAGTTGGCATGTTCTCCTGAGAGATTTGAAAGACTCGTTTCGCGCGTTTTGAAGGGTGTGCACTGTTTCGGTGCAAAACTAACATGACAGTTTTCCAGTGGCGGCTAAACATGTTTAGACTCTCCGTCTCGTATAGAGAACAGAAGCATACCCATGCCTAAATAGTCGTCCAGCAGTTTTATAATCGCAAGTAATACAGTTACTTTGCTTCCAAATTTTTAATAAAAATAATATACATGGAAAAGTTACGCGCTTCTGATTACACCCCCGTCGCACACCTTTTCCTTACGAGCAAGAGATCGTGTTTCGCATTTGCGCAAGTTCCACGTGCTGCAAGAAGTTCGCTTTGTGCTCGCTTTGTGTGCTGCTAAATCAGGCAAGATTATGGCTTTTAAATTTCCTGTTCTTAAGCCCAAGACCATCGACTGTTCAGGTCTTCCAGTTCATGATTTCAAGTGTTTGACAAACAAGGAAATCATTGGTAAGGGCGCTTATGGTGCTGTGTTCACTGCTAACTGGCAGACTGTTCCTGATGCGGGTGGGAAATCGGCCGCTGCGGAGAAAGTCGTCGTTAAGAAATTGCTTGGCGAGGACATATTGGATAGGAAAACGTTTGTAAAGGAAGCAAGAATCATTCAAGAGTTGAAACATCCAAACATTGTGAAGTTCAAGGGAATCTGCAACAATCCCTTCGCCCTTATTCTCGAGTTCCCGCCCGCCGAGTGTAAATAATCCATTTCGCAAAATAAACATTTTTCGGAATTACTACATTCAATTAGTTTAGAAATTACTACGTTAAAGAGGAGGTGACCAAGATCTTTGAGAATATACTATAATGTAATGTTTAAATGTATTTTCGTGACATGAAAGAGGTCAAGCAAAATAGCAACTCTCCTAAAATTACTATTTTGCGAAATATATTTTAATACGGTTTAAGAAATAAGAGGAGGCCAAAATGTTCGGTGATATACTAATTTGTAATGTTTAAATGTATTTTCGTGACATGAAAGAGGTCACGTTGTCACCGCAGGGGTGAAAATGGTCCATTTCGCAAAATAGTAACTCTCCTAAAATTACTATTTTGCGAAATGAATAAAAATCCTTCTTGTTAATGAACGATTACTCCAAAATCCTTGTGAAAGTTATCTTTACCTTATTAGAAAATATATCTGCATTATTTCTTTTGTTTTATTTCATTTCAGAGGTTACGTTAGTCACCGCTGAGTAAAAATTGTCCATTTCGCAAAATAGTAACTCTCCTAAAATTACTATTTTGCGAAATACATTTTAATACGGTTTAAGAAATAAGAGGAGGCCAAAATATTCGGTGATATACTAATTTGTAATGTTTAAATGTATTTTTGTGACATGGAAGAGGTCACGTTGTCACCGCAGGGTGAAAAATTCCATTTCGCAAAATAGTAACGCTCCTAAAATTACTATTTTGCGAAATGAATAAAAATCCTTCTTGTTAATGAACGATTACTCCAAATTCCTTGTGAAAGTTTTCTTTACCTTGTTAGAAATTATATCTGCATTATTCC